AAAGATAGCACAGTCTATCAATAATCAAGCTATGTATGGTATGCATAATGAAGGTTATAGTTCATTCAATACAACTGCATTGGCAGACAGATGTTCTTTTTTCCTTTGAAGTATATACACAGCTTTATTCATATTGAAACAAATGTATGTATCATTCTGAAAGGGTAGAACATTTTTTTTAATAAGAAAAAGTTAAAAGTAACTCAACATTTTATGATTCACTACAGGAAGTACAAAGTTTATTGCAGATTAAAGTCCCTAGTTGAAGGATTACTTTGGGTGGAATAACTTGTTTTTAAATGTAACAAGTTGAAGCTTTGGAGCAAAACATAATGTAGTGACAATTAAATGCATTTTTATTCTGTTCCTTTTTAATTGTATATATACAGTGTCACCCTATTATGAAGCCACCACTTACAAGATTTTCTTTAACTATCCTAAGCAAGACTGTAACGTTTGTGACTTACCAGGGAACTGGAAAGTGCCTTAACTGCTTACACCAGAATTATGAAGCACATAAAAAGTTGGGGTTAATGTACAGTTGTTACGTAGAATTTTGGGCTTTACCATTAGCATTTTAATAAAAGTGATATTAGCATTTTAGCATGGCATCCTGCCTCCTTTTGAAGTTTAGAAAACCATGTTTTTCCTTTGAGCCAAAGCCATTTCCTTTGATGTGCAAAAACTAGTCCTTTCAGGGACTGTCAATCAAACAATAGGGCTGTATTCTGAAATCCTTGAGTGTTGCAAGTGGTTTTTTTTCTTCTTTTTATTAAGAAATTGTCTGTTAAAGAAACAAACCCGGGTGGGAAAGAAGGAGATGCAACATATTTTAAAGGTGTCTGTAGGTGTCTGTCTTTTCTCATGTCTAATCAATGTCTCTCATTGTTTGATTTGTTGCTTTCTGATTAATCACATATATCAAATGTATATATCATTTGTTTCTGTACCCTATATAAAGTCTTGACCCCCCCCCATAATAAAATGCCTTTCACTTTTCCTTCAGTTCTTTGG